TAACAAAGTTACCAACAGGGTAACCAGCAACTTAGTGAGTACACAGGACACAACAGTGTCCATACTCACATACGGAAAAAGTCTCTCTCTCTCTCAACAAACACAAGACTGGTTTTTATACAATGGGATGTGTGATTGAACAAACGAGTAACAGGTGGTGCAATGCACAGGAATGTTCACTGATTGGTCCAATCAGCAGACACCTCAACGACCACCAATCAGGAACATACAGGACACCTGTGATTAGGGCAGAAGGAGAGAAACACACAAAAACACAGGATACCTGTATCCGTAACACTCCCACCCTTAAAAGAGCAAACCACAATGGTTTGCGACACACGTACTATCACAACACCCAAATTCACAAATCATCCTGCCGGGATAACAACAAAAAAAACCTAGATCATTACACACGAGACAAAGCATCTGCCAACACATTATCCAACCCCTCTTCGCAGAGGAATTGCCTCTGGGTACCTGGCGGCCACACACATAATTGTCAACATAAACTGGTTACCAGATTTTGTTTTTGGTAATGGTCCAACACAATCAACCATCACATGTTCGAATGGTTCACCTATGGCCGGTATGGGACAAAGAGGCGCGGGGGAAATAACCTGGTTCGGTTTTCCCAACTACTTGACAGGTGTGGCAAGTCCGACAGAACCGAGCCACATCTTGTTTTAAGCCAGGCCAAAAGAAATGTCGCAAAACACGATCATAAGTCTTGGTGACTCCCAGATGTCCGGACCACTGGTGATCATGAGCGAGGGATAAAACATTTTGTCGAAAGGCTGTAGGAATCACTATTTGGTAAACAGCATTCCAATCTCCGCCAGCGTCAACATGGGATGTCCATTTACGCATGAGGAGATTACCATCAATGAAATATGCCATGTTTTTCTTCTTTAGCTCGTCCTCTGAGACAACACTAGAAAAAACATTTAGCCAGGCTAATGTCAACCTGTTGGTTAGCGATCAGCTGCTCACGAGTAACTGGTAACTGTATTGCCTCAGCAACAAGTTCCACATCCTTCTTCCTTTCTCTGGGCTGTTGGTCAGACTGCACCAGCTTACCAGAGGTAGCACCCGAACTATCCTCTGGGTCACACTCTCTGAATAGAATCGTGTCTGACAAATCTATCACTTCACCCACTTGTCGTGCTTGAGCACGTGTGACAGCACAAGCGGGGAACACATCTGGATAACCCTGTGCCAGCTCCTCGGAGAGAGACTGGTCACTTTTATCCAATACCTCCAATATGGGTATTACCTTTCCTCCGGCAATATCGTTGCCCATTATAAATGTCACACCCTTTTAACTGGCAACATAGGACGTACGCCAACTCTGAACAATCCACTGACTAACTCAGAGTGTACGTTCACAAAGTGCAATGGCACTGGGACGAAACCCATTTCATTCCTTGTACTAACACACTGGAACCACAATATGTATTACTGGACAAGGGCAACACATCAGCGAGTATGAACGACTGCGCCGCACCAGTATCTCTGAGGATTCTAACTGGACGCTGAGACGCTTCGTCATCTGATATAGAAACAAACCCCTCAAAATGAACGGTTCATAACTGTGATCTGGGACAGGGACTTTCAAACCACATTCACTATGAGGCCTCTGTCTTGATTCCGGCCTTACAACCGTACGAATCAGCCCAACACCCGTTGGCGGCCTGGCGTGCTGAGGCACCCCGGTTTGCGTTTTAGCAGAAAGCAATCATTAACCATATGTCCCACCTTATGACAATAGAAACAGTGACGCACATCTTTTGGGCGTGCTGGATGTACTGCTGGTCGACTAGGATTAAAAGTTAGCAACTCCGCAGCCCTGCTCTCCGTACGAGCCGAAAACAACGCTCTTATGCGTCCAACACAACTCGTCTGCCAATACAGACGCTTCCGACAGTGAGGATACTTTCTGTTCGTTCAGATAAACTACAATGCGTTCTGGTAAGCAATTTTTAAACTCTTCTAACAAGATTAACTCCCGTAGAGAGTTAAAATCAGTTACTTTACTAGCACTGTGCCATTTGTCAAACAGATTTCCCTTTGTCTCTAGCAAACTCCACATAAGTCTGAGTAGGAGACTTTTTATGAGACCCTAATCTCTGTCGATATGCCTCAGGAACAAGCTCATAGGCACGAAGAACAGTAGCTTTGACCACTTCATAATTCAAAACTGTCTTCAAAGAGTAGCGCTGCCAGAACCTCTTGGGCTTTACCTGTTAGTTTACACTGAAGTAATAGGCACCATACCTCTTCGGGCCATTTCATGCTACCGCTATACGTTTCAAACACCACTGAAATAGGAATCAACCTCTGACTCCCTGAACACAGGTACCAAGGTGATCTGCCTACTAATATCAAAACGTAGCAGATGACACAGCTGGTGAGGATGGCTCACTAGCAGGCATAGTATTAGCAGAGACTAACCTCGCTGTTTCTTCTGCCTCTAGTTTCCATTTTACAACGCACCTCCAGTTCCATCTTACGCATCTCCCAGTTCCATCTTACGCGTCTCCTGTTCTGGCCTCTAGCTTACGCGTCTCCTGTTCTGCCTCTAGCTTACGCGTCTCCTGTTCTGCCTCTAGCTTATACGCGTCTCCTGTTCTGCCTCTAGCTCCATTTACGCATCTCCAGCTTGTCTTGCCTGATTTGTGCCCGCTCTTTTTCCGCCTCCATTTGGAGCCGTGTCGAGCGGACATCCATCCTGGCATCACTGTCAGTCAGTGGGGAGAGTGGGTCATAACGGGGCAATGTGGCTGGAGCCTTAGTCTCGTCCTCAACACTGATGGGCTTACAGGATCAGCACCACAATCCCCTACAAGAGCAGCAGACTCAGGCGGCGGTAACTCAAGCACTCGCTCGTTTAACAATATCGCTAGCACTACTTCCCTAACTTCTGCTTTCACTAAACCCCTCGGTATGGGTACAGAAAAGTGGTCAGCCAAAGCCTGTAGATCCACTCTACGGCAATTATCAAAAACCTCCCACGTAGGGTTTTTCCAAAAATGCCTCCAACTCAAAAGTAGCCATCCTACTAGCAACACGAGCCGTCGACTACTGAACACAAAAAAAAAAACAGGTAGTAACCGCTGGCCAAGCTCAACACTGAACCAGACACTTACTAATTTGCATGAGTAAACATGGATATATCCCGGACGAACCACCACTTTGTTTACGAACCCCGTGGCTCTAAACGTCTAGGGTGGATGGACAATGAGACCCGTAACATAAATTATGCAAATTAGGAGTGTGGCATGGAGCAGTGGGAACAAATGTGACACAACAACCATGAACTACCGTTAAACACAAATGGTTTATTTCAGAACACACGGTAAGGGTTTGGGAAAAAGGGCTGAGCAGGACCCAAGAATGAAACAATAGTGTAAAACCCCCTAAACTGATCTAACCTGCCTGAAGAAACCGCTAGGCTACTGCTAGTCATACAAAAGTACAGTGGGTGGTCCGCTCAGGTCTAACTAGTGTTTTTAGACAGATTTCTTCCTACGGGTAATGTACGCCAAGGGCAACTAGCTTAAAACCTCCCCTTTTCCCAGAAACACACAAAGCTAACCAAACAGGGTAATCAGCAATTAAGTACGTACACAATACACAGGACACAACAGTATCCACACTCACATAAAGAATAGATTCTAACAAAGTTACCACAGGTAACCAGCAACTTAGTGAGTACACAATACACAGGCCACAACAGTGTCCATACTCACATACGGAAAAAGTCTCTCTCTCTCTCTCTCAACAAACACAAGACTGGTTTTTATACAATGGGATGTGTGATTGAACAAACGAGTAACAGGTGGTGCAATGCACAGGAATGTTCACTGATTGGTCCAATCAGCAGACACCTCAACGACCACCAATCAGGAACATACAGGACACCTGTGATTAGGGCAGAAGGAGAGAAACACACAAAAACACAGGATACCTGTATCCGTAACACAGACAGACAGGGCAGCAGGGAAGCCTAGAGGGATACGAGTGGCTTAAGGCTTGACAAGGCCTGACAGTTAAAGACTGTACCACTGACCTTAGAATAGAGGAGACTACCTGTCCTCTCCTGTGTGTAGCCTGGCCATTTGAAAGGTTTCTCTTCTGGACTACACTTTCCCGTCTGGACTACACTTTCCCGTCTGGACTACACTTTCTCTTCTGGACTACACTTTCTCTTCTGGACTACACTTTCCCTTCTGGACTACACTTTCCCTTCTGCAGTACACTTTCCCTTCTGGACTACACTTTCTCTTCTGCAGTACACTTTCTCTTCTGGACTACACTTTCCCTGGCCCACTTCTCTCTGGACTACACTTTCCCTTCTGGACTAGACACTTTCTCCTTCTGGACTACACTTTCCCTTCTGGACTACACTTCCCTCTGGTACTACACTTTCTCTTCTGGACTACCACTTTCCCTTCTGGACTACACTTTCTCTCTGGACACCTTTTCCCTTTTGCAGTAACTTTCCTTCGGGGCTTTTCACTTTTTCCCTTTTGGACTACCTTTTACTTGGCTGTTGATTGTCTAAGCAACAAAAACCCCAAACGACACAAATTGCAGTAATTTGCATAATATGCCACAGGAAACGTGAAGTTTCCCGCTAACTAACATAAAACCTCAGTCCTGTAGTATTAAGGGGCTCAACCCCAATCTTAATCCCGCAAGATAAACTTTTCAAAT